CATAGGCTAATATACGCACGGCTATAGGCGGCAGGAAAGTGTATTACCTCTCATATCTGGAGAACGAATTGAGTTACAATTCTAGAAATCTAGATACAAGATACATCTAGATAGAAGCGCGATTAGATTAATTAATTATCAAATATCTACGCGCGGTATCACGCATACTGACGCCTATTGCGTGGAGCCGGCTATGGGCGGCAGGAAAGTGTATTAACTCTCATATCTCGCGAACGAGTTATAATTCTAGAATTCTACATACATATAGGCACGTTTCTGAGCTATAAGTTCTGTAAATATTGAGTCTATTGACGTACAATTAGTCTAATTAATTTGCAAATATATGCGCGCGTTATCGCGCATAGGCTAATATACGCACGGCTATAGGCGGCAAGAGAGTGTATTAACTATCATATCTCGCGAACGAGTTGGTTTATAATTCTAGAATTCTACATACATATAGATCCATTTCTTAGCTATAAGCTTGGTTAATATTGAGTATATTGACGCACTATTAGTCTAATTAATTTGCAAATATATGCGTGCCGGTTGGAAAGTGTATTTGCGCCTAATTTTATGTTATAATCCTGAACTGCAGGAAATTGTGTTATGTAGCTAATTTAGAATTTAATTTAGGAAAAAGAGAGAGAAAGATAATATATATATATAACCTTTGCCGTATCCGGACAACTACCCACTGGACAATTACCCACCGGACAATTACCCCCGGGACAATTACCCACCAGGACAATTACCCACCCGGACGATTACCCACCAGGACGATTACCCACCCGGACGATTACCCACCAGGACGATTACCCACCCGGACGATTACCCACCAGGACGATTACCCACCAGGACAATTACCCACCAGGACAATTACCCACAAGGACAATTACCCATTAGGACAATTACCCACTAGGACAACTACCTCCCGGACAATTACCCACCCGGACAATTACCCACCAGGACAATTACCTACCAGGACAATTACCCACCCGGACAATTACCCACTATGACAACTACCCCCCGGACAATTACCCACCCGGACAATTACCCATCCGGACAATTACCCACCAGGACAATTACCCACCAGGGCAATTACACCCGAGGACAATTACCCATCAGGACAATTACCCACTATGACAACTACCCCCCGGACAATTACCCACCCGGACAATTACCCATCCGGACACTTACCCACCA